ACCCTATTTCAGCCTCTCTCTTAGTAAAGCATAGTCCAAGCTTACGTTAGAATCTAGTAGGGTAATCTCGTCGAAGAATGGACATTCGTAAGCAAAGGATATGCTTGAAATGGACGAACTGAATATTAGTCACGAAAATGCATCTTATTCCTCTTATGTAATGTGCGTGTGCAATCTAAGATTGTTAAAAAAAATTTCCTTTGGTAGGAAGGAGTTTCTAAAGTTTAGAATTAGTTCATACTGATGTATGTGATTTAATGAATATCGTAAGGCATGGAAGTAAGAAACACTCCATTACAAATATTGATTATTACTCAAGATAGGAGTTTGTGTACCTGCTTAGAACCAAAGATAAAGCTTTAAAGAAATTCAAAATTATTGAAGCAGAAATTGAAAATCAATTTTGAGCACAAAATGAAAATACTTAGGAGCGATAGGGGTCGTGAATATTGCTTTGAGGAATTTTCTAAACTTTGTGAAACAAACAGCATCGTACACCTACTCACTAACCCTTATTCATCACGACAAACGGTTTGGCAAAAAGGAAAAATCAAACATTAGTAGAGAAGGTAAATGCCATACTTTTGAGTTGTCGTTTACTTCCTAACTTGTTGGGACGGCCTTGGTCCCTGCATGTTATATTTTGAATTCACACTATCGAAAAAAACAAATTTCATTTCTTATGAACTTTGAAGAAAACAAGAAATCCAATTTGGGTTATCTTCAAGCGTTAGGGTGCATTGCTTATGTAAAGTTATTTGATCTTAGGAGAACCAAATCAGGGCTTAAGACCATTAGGTGAGAATGCCTTGGTTATGTTGAAAATTAGTAAAGCATACAATTATTTGGACTTCGAACCTGATGTGATTTTAGAATATAGAGATGCATAATTTCTTGAAAATGAGTTTTTGAAAAGTATAAAATAACCATGATTATGAGCATGAGCTAGAAAATGTGGAAAATGATTTCCAAGACAACAACAGGATCCACAACCTAATAGAAGTAAGAGAATTACGAACGAAACTTCATTAGGACCCGATTTCTATACTTTTCTAGTGGAAGATTATCCATAATTCCAAGAGGCCATGTCATCACGAAATGCTCAGTAAGTGAGATGAACTCTATAACGCCAAACAACACTTGGAAACTGGTATCAAACAACACTTGAAAAGCACGTATATGTCGTTTTCTAAAAACCTTTCACCTCAGGGCACCACAGGGTGCCTCGAGCTCTGAGCGGCCTGGGTATCAGGCACCAGGCAGGCCGCCTAGCATTTTTTGAAACATTGATAGTGATTTTGTTGCATGGATTTTCAATTTGTGACTTTGATAAATGTGCACATCTGAAACCTTCAGTTTACCATGGTTATTATAGGTTGATATGTAGACATGTAAATATTTGGCTCTCATGTTGCATATGTACATAAAACCAAGGAAATGTTGTCATATGAATTTAATATGAAGGATATGAGGGATGTTGATGTGATTCTTGGAATCAAGATTGTGACTTGTGAGAAGTCACAATGACTTTGCATTGTCACAAGTACATTACATGGAGTAAGTACTCAAAAAGTTTAAATAATTTGAGTGCAAGCCAATATCGACACCCATTGATTCTAGTATTTATCACAGTTGGAGTATGCAAATGTCACTGATTGTCTAACTATGTTGTAAATTAAACTAGAACTGATGTAGCATTGACTATTGGTAAACTAAAGCTGATTTACCAATAACACAATTCATGAGCATTGGTTGCAATTTATTGAGTTTTGAGGTATCTCAAGGGTACCATGGAAGGATGCGCTATGCCAACTGGAACTCTGATTTAGAATCAGCCTCAACAACTGGTTGGATTTTTCACTTCTGTGGAGCAGCTAATAAATAGGGTTCAAAGGAGCAGTCTTGCTTTTTGAGCTCCACCATAGAATCGGAATTGATTGCTTTGGCAATGGCTAGAAAGTAAGTGATAAAGGAATTTTTTTAAGAGAGAGTAAGGAACCTACTGATAGATAATTTTTTCAAAAGCCAGTTGCCAAAATCTCCATATAATGTGAATGTAAAGCCACTCTCTATAGGGCGAAGAATAAGACATACAATGAGAAATTAAACACATGATGCATAGTAAGGTAATTTCTCAATGGAGGAGTAATTGCATTGGATTATGTGAGGTTATTCCAAAACATGGTGGATCTGCTCACTAAAGACCTAGCTAGAGAACAAGCGAGGATTACCTTAAAAGGATGGCGCAAAAGCCAATTAAAGACAAGTCACAAGATGATGGGAACACTACCTACTTGATGAGGTGATCCCGAATTCTAGTTTCAAAAGGGAAAAAAACAAGTCACATGACTCACCTATCAAGCATGGATATGAGGCCGCTTCCTAGGAGAAATGCGCATTCCTAAAAGCACTAATGAAACCTGGATTCAAGCACATAGCCAGAACCTGCCTGTTGGCTTCAGTACACAGAATGAAAGGTTGTACGTAATATGGGAGGTTTACCCATTAAAGGAATTAAGGAACATGGATTCGCCCACTCAAGGTCCTTCGTAAACGTTCTGCTTAACACTATATCAAGGTTCAATTTCACGGATATCTTCACTTGTGTACAATCTTTCCTGGTGTTCCCTACTCAACATTCTTTCTAATAGAGTGGGAGACTGCTAGTCTATGAAATTGTTCTAGGAGATTGCTAGTCTATGAAATTGTTCTAAAATAACTCTGAATTCATCCAATTGTTGAGATATTGCTATATAGAGAGAGATAAACATGATTTGCATGCATTAGTGTAAGAGAGAGAGAGTAGTACTATATGAGGTTGATGGGTGGGCCCAACAGTTAAATTAAATTAAGAGATCACGGGTTTTTGTTATTATGAGCTAACAATAAAGCCATGTAACCTGTAATACATCCTCTCTCTTACTAAGAAAACATTCAGCCTCCACCCACACCCTTTTTTGACAGTTATGTAACCTATGCAGTTCTTATCACATCTCTTGGTCTATAATAGGACTTTAAGCACATTAGAGGATAGACATTTAACTCACACTTTTATTTGTTCTCTCATATCTCTTCTCCTCAGGACTGCCTGCTTCATTTCATTCTCTCATTTCTCTCTTTTCTTCAGAGCTACCTTCTTCGAAGCATTCTCCACTCCCATCTCCTAACACATCTACTTCGAGCCTGTTTGGATGCATTTGTTGTTACTAATAATTCACTATTACCATAAAACTATTCATATTAAGTATTTATTTGTTGTTTAGTTATGGCCCTTACAGAATTACTTATGATACGCTTAGTGTCTATTTTACATATAAGTTAATCTCTTTGAAAACTGGTTTTTACTTAATACCGAATAGCATACTTTAATTTTTTGGGAGGAGACCCAAAAAAAAAAGCTTCTCTTTCCCTCTAAAAACCTCTCTCCTTTTCTCTCTGTCTCTCTCCCCCTAATTCAAATAACTCTACATATGTGTTTGTAAAGAGGCGGATGGTAGATGAGGGGTTGCAGAGGAGGTAGCACGGAATTCACTTATGTAATGGCTATCCGTGTCAGGTGCCTGAGAGTTGCGATGAATGTTGACCTACTCCTCCTCATGGATGCAACTCGCTCACTCTCATAACCTCCCCCAGAGCTTAGCCCTCTATTTGTGAAGCCCTAATCCCATTCCTGGTACAATAGCAACCCCAAACCGTCTCTCTCTCTCTCTCTCTCTCTCTCTCTCTCTCTCTCTCTCTCTCTCACACACACACAATAAAGAAGGCCATTTTTGGGAAGCTTGTGCTTATTCTTTGGGTGTGGAGGAGGATTTAGGAATAGGTTCAAGTTTCGAGGAGTGAATGGAAGAATAGTGGATTGCATTGTTGTCCCAAAAAGAAATTAATTTACTGTCCAGCCAAACTTCACATCACAATAACCTTATGTATATAAGCTGCCCACCAAACAACTAACAGAACCCTGTTACATATGATGTACTAATATCTGACAGAGAAATATATTTGTGATAATATTAATTGTTATCCAAATAGGCCCTTCAGTTAGTTTATCTCTAGTGCATAGCTTTCTTTCATCAAGTAAAGGCTCATCCACTTCCTCACTGGCTTTGTGCTCATTTTGCATCTAATGTCAACCAATAAGTTCCATGTGTGTCAACATGCATATTTATGTTATCAAGCAAGATTTGGATAACTTAGCCCACAAAAAAAAAAAAGGCATGATTTGGATAAGGTGTACGTGCAGTTTGATTGTGACATTCCTTCAAGTTTGGGGCACACCTCATCAAGTTCTTTGTTTTTCAAGATTTACAAATTTCTTTTGGAAAATTTTGATTACCACTCAATTTCCAATGATTTTTCAACATAGTATGCCATGCAATGCCATTCCAAAAAATTTATCCAAACCTTTTTCCCCTATTTATTTTCCTATCTCTAGTTGTATGAGACCCATAGCCTCCAAAACTATTTTGCACATTATTCGAAATTGCATGAAAACGAACTCCTCCTCCTCCAAATTAATTTGACCTAATTCAAGAAAGGCCTCTTCCTCCTGACCATAGGCCTTTGCATTTGCCTTCAAATAAAGATTTTAAGCCTTTAAGGAACAATAAGGAAAGGAAACTAGAATGCACTTTGTTCTGGAAAAGAAATTAAACTTTCCTTCTAAAATTATTTGCATGAATCCAGGAAAAACTATTATTTCTAGGATACAATAGAATATACAATTATTTGTATGAATTTAAAGTTGATATGGCTCATCAAAATAGATCAGCCCCATATTGCATTTAGTTTTCCCTTGTCTCATTGAAGAATATGCTAAGTATTTTCCACAATTTTTTGTATACTTTTCAACTCATGTTAACTTCTAATGTCACAGTCACATGGTATAAAAATTGGCGAGAAATTAAGTGTATCCAAGGCTTTTTAAGAAGATATATAGCATTTTATGTCATCACCAACCAGTAAGAGTAAACTTCCTCAAAAAAAAGTTAAATAAAACATACCTCTAAAACAGTTGATTCACGTCCTGCATCTTCCTCTGGAACTGGTTCTAGGGTTTCCTCTTCGTCAAGGAGCTCTGGAGCTGCACAAACCTTGTGCAAATGTCTTGGACGATAGAGAGAACGGGAAGAAAACAAAGATAATTTTAGAGAGAGATTGCAGGGGTTTGAGCTTAGGGTAGCTTTAGGGTTAGGGTTTGACGAGTTCGTAGAGTTGCAGAGCTGAATGGGAGGAAAGCTGAGGTATAGAGAAGAAGCAGCCATGAGGTTTAGTGAGAGAAACACACTGTCTCTCTCTCACTGCCCTTTCCAACTTATCCAAAATGATTTCAAAGGGTTTATAAAAGTATTGGTGCGGGATGGAGTGAGAAATTCATTGGCCCCTCCCCGTGGTTAAAATCACTAAAAGGGATTCGCATTCTCAATTCCCAACCAGTGTTCGCAAAATGTAACAGTTAACGGGAGATGGGCTTGGAAGTGGCCTAGGTAAACCAGCGGGTTAAAACGGGAGATGGGCTTGGAAGTGGTTTAGCCGGCCTAGGTAAACCAGCGGATTTAAGTGTTTTAACATGGCAAGTCCCGGGCAGTCATAAAAAAGTTTAAAAAAAATATAAAAATATAAAATAAAATCTACTAAAATATAAAAAGTTTATAAAAAATATTAAAATAAAACACATTCAAATAAAGTTGAAAATTAATAAAAAAATAGATTTTAACTCATTTTATATTTTCTAATAACCATTTTAAAAAAAATCTAAAAAATATAAAAAAATATAAAATTTAGTATTAGTGACCAAAACAATTTTTAATCTTTATCATAATGTAAATAATATTTAAAAATACATTACAAATCAAATTTCTTATTCTTTAGAAGTTAAATATATTTTTTTTATTATTATTTTTAAATACCGATTGATCACCTTAACCGTCTAAAACTGAAACTGACCGGTTCCGATCTAACCGGGTGATTGGTGGTTAGATCGAAAGATTTTGCCCAACCGATGGGCGAGTACAATGTATTATAGACACGAGCACGATGCTTCTGCTTGAGTAATATGTTCATTTGCTACCCCGGGTAATATTGTACTTTGAAAGACTTTTGTATATGAAAATTTGGAATTCTTTTAAAATCATCATATGACTATTGAAAAAAAAAAGGGGATGCTGAGCTCTTTAACACATACCTTATTGTTAGAAATTTGGATTGTGTTCATTAAAGTTTGGGACATAATCATTTTACCCTCATAAAGTATGTATTTGAATATTTCTTTTCTTTTATTTGAGTTGGTCTTTAGGCAGTAGAGAATATATCCCTTATGGGTCCTATAAATATTTCTAGCTTAGTTTTGCTTAAGGGAGTAATTAGATACGTTGCTCCCTCAGGAGCACAAAATCAATTGGCATTACAAAATATTGCATTAACGTAGTGTTAAAAATGAGAATAGGTCTATATGATACAAATAAAAAAAAGTTCATAAAAAGTTAAAACCCTAAACAATCAAATTAACCCGCACATAACAAATTCACTAGAAGAAGAAAAACCCTTAAATTCAAACTTCTCGACCTTGTAAACAGACCATTTTTTTTATGGGTGCGGTTTCTATAAAGTTGCAACGTTAAACATTCCAATTAAAATGCACTCCCAAATTTTATTATAATATGTAATTATGGTGTAAGAAATCTTAGAATTATCTAAAAATGTCTTTTTAGTTCTAATTATAAAATTTTAAACTGATTAAAATCATGTAGATCTATAAACATATGAAAATCTTGAAAATAGACGGTCTAGATAATGTGTTGCAAGATGTACTATTTTTTAGACACAAAATCTTTTTTATATATATACATTCAGACATCTCGATGGTGAGATGATCAATTAGTGGGTCTTTCAACATTAAAACAACCTTTTTCTGATGGATTTTTTAGCTGCATATTTTAAGGTTGCAACCTTATATAAACTTTTCCCTTTTTTTATTGATATCTCCTTTGGAATTTTAAATCTCAATGCATAGAAAATGACCCCTGAACTGCATAGTATGAGCCTCAAATTAACCATTCAAGTCCTACGACCATATAAGCCTAATACACCATAAGACACACTAAACTGCAGTTATATCCAAACCACAGTCCAGCCACAATTCTAGAAAACCCCCTAAAAATCCCAAGAAAAACCCACTTTAGGAGGCCTTAGATAAAAAATAGCAAGTTTGTAAATGAAATGGAATGATAATATATCAATAGTGCCCAAACCGCATGAATTATGATTCAATATAATAATTTCCAATAATCAAAATCACAAATCCCGAGGAAATCTAAGTCATCATGAGTTAGTTGCTTATTGTGCCAAAACTTACAGATTTACGCCTCAAGATGCCTTGCGGCTCGAATACTGTCTATGTCTAATTGGTGTAGACAACTGCCTCACATATTTCTATGTCACCTTTACTTATAAAAACCATCATTTCCCACCTCCCTAAGAGAGACTAAATCTCTCTCCAACCAAACCGTAACCCTAGTCTCTAGAGAACCTTAATTGAGAGCCACAACAATATTAATTTCTAGCGATCATGGCAAACCATTACAGAGAGAAAAAACTTCATTGTTTCATCGCCCAAAGCATAAAAACCCTTTATGATCCTATATCCCTATCTCATTTAAATATCAAAGTTAGGCATTCATTTTATAAAAAATAGTTCATTATGTCAATCTAAGGTCCATTCAAGGCCTTTATTTTAGATGTCGAGCCACGAGGCCTCCAATCGGCTCATAAGTTCAGTCGCTTTGATTTTATTTTAATTTTTAGTTTTATTTTTTCATTTCATTAGGTCTTACTTCATTTCTTTCCTTTTTTAGAGTTTATCTTTTCCTCTCGAGAATGTTAATGCGGTTACAATCCGAAGAGGGTCGTATCTTTAGTGTGAGATCTGATCACCTTTGGATCGGAATTTGAACGGACCCTGATCTACCTAACTTTCAAATAATTAGTGAAGAGCATACTTTGTCCATCATCTCGTACAAATATCAGTCTCAAATCCAGGTGTACACAGTTTGACGACCACCATGGAGCCAGTCAAGCTGTAAAGCGCATCAAGTCATCTTTGGAACGTCTTTGATCCTACGACCGATGACATTCCAAAGAGTTTAATGAGAACCTGAGAATATCCTGACACTAACCAAGCCATTCCTGGGTCTATTAAGATTCTGTATTGGGATATGCAACATGGAACAGTGACTTTTCACGCCACAAGATGCGGCACGAGATGCACAAGCTCTCGGGAAGTTCCTGAGACCCTGATCTCAGTCGGAGTGCTCTCTGTTTTCCCTATTTCAGTCATATATTATTCATACTAGTGAATTTATATACATTGCATGTATAATTGTAAGGAGAGATAAATAATAATAAAATATTCATAAGATAAAATAAATCATTGATACATTTTAATTTAAAATGTAGGGATAGACATGAAAATAAAATAAAATAATTCATTGGATAAATGAAATGTTCATTTCATTGTTTATTTATTTTGGGTTAAGACAACATATATTTTTAAACATTGGATAGTAATAATAAATAATTAGTCAATAATTATTGGAAGCATGAGCATTTCAAATAAAATAATAATTTTTTAGAATTTAAATTTCAAAGAAAATAGAAAATTCCAGTTGTTTAATATGTTAAGATCAAATTCATAGAAAAAGATCTGAATTACTTGTATAAAAGTTTCACCATGTTTTTTAATACATATACAAAAGAAATCCAATCTAAAGCTTTCTAATAAATTACATGTATAAAAGTTTTACCATGAATTTGAATATATATCCAAAAGAAATCCAATCTCTAGCTTTCTAATTATGAAAATTAAAAAAATAGAATCCATACGATAAAATTAAAAAGGTTGGACACATACCTTATTAAAATATTGACTTTGAAGAGAATGAGTGATCGCCCTGATTACTCAAATATCTAAGTTCATATAAATAAAGAAGAAGAACAAAGAATATATATATATATATATATAAGAAAACATAATCAAATAAAAATTGAATCAATTACGTCAAAGGTAAAGACATAGTATCAAGGGAAGATTTAACTATTAAAACAATTAAAGTAAATAAAAAGATTATAAAGCAATACACCATTAAAATAAATCTTAATCTTGTCACATTTCATATAAGTAAGAGAATACCTACATAAGCATGATGCATTAGTACAAATTTTCTCTTCTCAAATCTCTCTCACACCCTCTCTCTCTCTCTCTCTCATAGCCCCACCCACGACCACATTCTCTATCGCATGCTTCCTTTACGACTTCAGTCTCGGTCTCTCATGCTTCCCTCACGACCACACACTCTCTCTCGCATGCTTCCTTTGCAACCTCACTCTCTCTCTCATGCACCTCTCTCTCTCTCATAGCCCCACCCACGACCACATTCTCTATCGCATGCTTCCTTTACGACTTCAGTCTCGGTCTCTCATGCTTCCCTCACGACCACACACTCTCTCTCGCATGCTTCCTTTGCAACCTTACTCTCTCTCTCATGCACCTCTCTCTCTCGTCCTCCTCTCCTATGTGCTCTCTCTTTTTATGAGATAATACCTGCATAAGCATAATGCATTAGTAAAAGTTGGATCTGAATATATAAAATTAATAATCTAAAACTCAAAACAGAATATTTATAATACAGGAAATTCTCTCTTCTCATCTCCCTCATGCCCCTCTCTCTCATACCCCACTCATGACCTTACTCTCTCCCTCTCTATCTTTATCTCTCTCATGTGCCCTTCTCTCTCCTCCTCTCCTATACCCTCTCTCACAATAAGCCCCTCACTCATCCCCGCTCGGCTTTCTCTTCCCTCCCATTCTCCATATTTTCTTTCATATGACGTCTTCTAAAATCTCTTTTTTTATACCCTCATCTTCGAAAATCTTTCAATTTCCATATATATTGTATATTATATTGACAATTTCTAGAATTTGGGATTTCTCTCTCTGCCCTCACGTGAGCTCTCTTCCTCTCTACCCCGTCACCTAATATCTTTTAAATGGAGGAGATTTATCCATGAATAGACGCTCCTACTTGAAATGAGATTTATAAGGTCTTTCTATCTTGCAATATAGTGTGTAGAGAAAAAATAGATCTTTTAATTTGAAAGAGATAATGAGTTTCCATTTAGTGTTTATCATCTCAAAAATTTTATTATTTAAAATAGAAATATAGATGAGCATAAAGATTCATTTATAGTAGATAAGTTGTGGTATTATATCTGTACTTAAATTGGGTGGCTGTTGAGATCTCCTTCTCATCCATCAATTTTTTTTAAAAAAAACCTCCTTGATCTATTGAATCCCTAAAAACTATATTCAAAGATAAGCTTTCTTCATTACGAACAATACTCCATATGAATCCATATTT